CTGAGATGTTCGACCCTGTCGACGTGCTGCTTGCACATGTCTTTCAGTACGCACATGATCCTCAAAATGTGAATTCTTCATGCACACAAATGCATTTTGATATCCATTTGACCTTGCAGAACACTTTCGAGCCATCCACTGTGAAGTCTTATTTGGCTACCTTTGCTTCCCTCATCCACTTCAGCAGAATTTGAGACACAGAACTTTTATTTTTATCCATTAAATTTCCTACTCTGTAGTTGAATATAAAACTTCGAGGCTGCGCACACTTCTGCACTTCACACTGTCACCAATAATTTATTAAAAAGTAACCACCAGAACGGTCATTGACTTTACTCTTATGAAGTAGCTGGAAACTTGGGTGAATAGCGATTTTATCACTTGTAATCGAAATAACAAGGAAGAAGGCAATGGCAAACCACTTCCTCAACTCTTGCCAAGAAAACTACATGGACAAGGAATTTCATAATAGAGATATAGTGTTGGAGGATGAGACCTTCGGGTTCGAAAGCACTCTAACTTCTACTGGGGATGAACAAGGAACTTCACTGACTAAGATTGAACATAATGGCATGATTAAGTCAAAGCTGAAAGGGAGTTTAATCATTGATGCAGTCAAACACGAAAAGAAAGTTCCAAGTTTCTTCAAACAACACATATTTGCAACATGGAATGTGAGAAGCATGTATGCTGGAAAACTAGACATAATTAAAAGTGAAATGACAAGAATAGGGATAGAAGTGTTAGGAGTCAGTGAGCTTAAATGGATAGGAATGGGACACTTTGATTCAAATGACTTTAGGATCTTCTATTCTGGACATGATAACTTAAGAAAAAATGGAGTGGCTCTAATTGTAAAAAAGAATTTAGTAAATTTTATTTTGGGTTATAAACCAGTTAGTGACAGAATCATAGTCTTGAGGATGCAGGGAAAACCAGTCAATCTGTCAATCATTCAAGTTTATGCTCCTACTACAGAAGCGACAGAAGAAGAAATTGAAGGGTTTTATGAAAAGCTTCAAGAAACAGTTAATAATTTACCAAAAAAAGATGCACTCTTTATTCTTGGTGACTGGAATGCAAAAGTAGGAAAAGAAGAGACTCCAGGACATGTTGGAAGATATGGTCTTGGGAAAAGAAATGATGCTGGGATACGACTAGTGGAATTCTGCATTTCAAATAACCTCTTTATTGCAAATACATATTTCCAATTACATAAACGAAGACTATATACATGGACATCACCAGATGGAAATTATAAAAATCAGATTGATTATATAATAGGTAGCAAGAGATGGAGGAATGCAATCAAATCAGCATGTACCAGACCGGGTGCTGACTGTGGGACTGATCATGAACTCCTTATATCAAAAATATCATTCCATTTGAAAGCTAAGAAAAAAGGAAGGGAAATAATGGGATGTTATGCTACAGATATCACCCCATCTTACATCTCAGAAATAAAAGAAGGTCTCAAAACAATTAATACATCAGGAAAGGAACCTGATGAAGTATGGGAGTCTTTAAAAAACACTATTAAACATACTGCTGATAAATGCATAGGAAAGAAGAAGAAGGAAAATAAGAAATCGCCTTGGCTGTCACACAAATCTTTAGAAATTGCAAACACTCGGAGACAAATGAAAATTATAGGAGATCGTCAAACAATTAAAAAATTAACTGCAGAGTTCCAAAGACAGGCTAGGAAGGATAAAGAAGAATATTTTAATAATAAATGCAAAGAAATTGAATTAAATAATGCGAAAGGACGTACAAGGGATCTCTTCAAAACAATTAAAGAGGTCGTTGGAAAATTTACCCCTAGGCTTGGTATTTTAAAGAACACACATGGAAAAGATCTAATGGAAGAAAGTGAAATAAAGAGAAGATGGAAAGAATATACAGAACAGCTTTATAAAGCAGATAATAATATAGAAGAAATAATTGAAGGAAGACATTTTACTTTGGAACCATCAATTTTGAAGGAAGAAGTGGAATGGGCAATCAACCAAATTTCAATTGGGAAAGCAGCAGGAACTGACGGAATTCCAGTGGAACTGCTCAAAGCAGCTGGAGAGGAAGGAATTAGAATACTAACAAAGCTATGCCAACAAATATGGGAAAAGAAGGTTTGGCCAAAGGAGTGGAAGCAATCCATTTTTATACCAATCCCAAAAAATGGCAATGCAAGAGAATGTTCCAACTATAGAACAATCGCACTAATTCCCCATGCAAGTAAGATTCTGTTAAAAATAATACAGAAGAGAATTGAGCCATATTTAGAAAGAGAATTGCCACTGGAACAGGCTGGATTTAGAAAGGGAAGAGGAACTCGCGATCAAATTAGCAACATCAGATGGATTCTAGAAAAGGCAAAAGAGTACCAGAAGGACGCCTTCTTTTGTTTTATAGACTATAGTAAAGCCTTCGATTGTGTGGATCACTCCAAGTTATGGAAAGTACTCAGGAGCATGGGAATTCCTGAACACCTTATATCTTTATTGATGAGTCTTTACAATGAACAAGAAGCAAAAGTAAGAACTCTATACGGAGAAACTGAATGCTTTAAAATTGAGAAAGGGGTGCGACAAGGCTGCATTTTGTCTCCATATCTGTTTAACTTATATACTGAATATATCATGAGAATGGTTACTACAAATGAAGAGTCCATTGGTATCAAGATTGGAGGCGAAACTATTAATAATATAAGATATGCAGATGATACCACCCTTTTGACAGAAAGCAAAGCAGATTTAGAAAAAATTATCATAAGGGTAAAAGAAGAAAGTGCTAAATTTGGTTTGAAGCTAAATGTAAAGAAAACTAAAGTAATGTCAACTAAAGAGTTAAAAGATTTCATTGTGGATGGTGAAAGAATTGAAGTGGTAGAAAGTTACATACTTTTGGGCTCAAAGATAGAAAGGAATGGAAGTTGTGAAGGAGAAATCAGGAGGAGAATTAATCTTGGCAGAACAGCCATGGCAAATCTCACCAAGATAATGAAAGATAAAGACATTTCCATTCATACTAAGAAAAGAATTGTAGAAGCAATGGTTTTCCCTGTAACATTATATGGCTGTGAAAGCTGGACTCTAAGGAAAAAGGAAAGAAAAATGATAGATGCATTCGAATTATGGGTATGGAGAAGATTACTTAGAGTTCCATGGACAGAAAAGAAAACAAATATCTCAATTTTAGAAAAAATTAAGCCAAGCTTCTCCTTAGAGTCAAGAATCTTAAAACAAAAATTGACCTACTTTGGACATGTGATGCGTAAAGAAGTTTCCCTAGAGAAGACTATTATGCTGGGAAAAGTGGAAGGTAGAAGGAAGAGGGGAAGGCAACGGATAAGATGGATAGAAGAAATAGAAAAAGTCACAGAAATGAAGCTGGATGAGCTACGAGAGACAACAAGGGAAAGATCAAGATGGAGAAGACTTGTCCATGAAGTCACCAGGAGTCGACGACGACTCGATGGAACTTAACAACAAAACCACCAGAAAGTTACCGAATAAATTTAAATTAGCTCAAAAGATAGCCAAAAAGCTAATAATTTTTATTTTCGTCAATTAAAAAAAGCCTGAATGTGGCATAAATTAATTCAACCTGGCAACATTGTTTACAAAACGACATTCAAAGGTGTTTCTGTTTTCTTTCTAAAATCCAAAATGGTTTTTTGGTTCCTACAATAGCATCAAGGACCACATACATGACAGTATTTTTCCGAAAATTGTGTATGCGTTTTAAAAAATTGCAAAAAATCCAATAAATCGAGCATTTTTGTTGATTTCGGTTCAAAAAACGTAAAAGTTCATTTTCGTTGATTAGAAGCAAAACGTCTTATTTTCGGAACTAGTTATTAACATTTACAATTTTTGTATAACACTCGTTACTACCCTCAAAATTAAGCTTATTGTCATTTGATAATACAGTAATTAAAAATATAAAAAGTTATTTTTAAAATAAAATCTCACAACAGCGGGAAACGTTACGCAACTCGTTGCTGGTTTTTTTTTTCACAAGCTGCTAAGTTTCAAGTAGATTTAATGTTTTAAGTTTCTTTTTTAAGAAAGCTATATTAACAATTCTTAAGATATTTAATGAAATTAATTTTAGACATTTGTGTGAATGACATAACGAACAAAAGGTTAGTTCATGTTAATATACTTTTGTTATTCAGAATGATGGATATAGTACACAATTTGTACACATCCTAATGGTGCATTTCTACATATCAGTCTCTTTCACTTACTGACATGTTTTCTTTGTCTATTTTTGATGGGAAAATGCAATACTTCATCCATTTCCCACAATTATTAGCTCCTTATTACCTCTTAGAAGGATTTTAACTTCAATAATGTGGTTCATAACATGACAAAGGTCAAAATGTACCTTTTCATCGTAAATATTTTCACAAGTTGAAAACAAAATTTTCACAAATAAACTATAACTATAATAAGAACACTACTAATATTCTGCAAAATAAAATAATACCGTCCGAAAAAAAATCAGCAACATACTGAGTATGGTACAGATCATACTGACTTGAGTACATTATAAATAAACAATCATATGGCTGAGAGTATAGCCCTTCGAGATCTGCCTCGTACTTAGATTATAAAAATATCGTTATATTGAGGGTTAAATATTACACTTACCACTTTAAACTCTAATCTTACCTTCTTTATAATAATTAAATAAAATCTAGAAAATAGGTAAATTCGAGATGAAACAATCTAGATTTATATCACTTATCTAATTGCCTAAATCTCAAATCTAGGGGCAAACAAACCAATCTAGATGAGAAAACAGATTTTAAAGTAGTATATTCTAGTTCGTTGGTTTCAATGCGGTCCTTTTTAGGTGAAACAAAGTATAGGCCCTAATAAACACGCATCAAAACTCTCCACATGCTATTTGCTTGACGAAAAGCATTGATTTTATTAGCTGTTTATAACAGAAACTATTAAAAATAAGTTTCATAATTAAATGATTCTTACCTGAATATTTGTCATGATTAATATCTCCGATATAAGCCAAACTAGTGCCGAACCTACTTCCTTTCTTCGAATCCTTTCCTCCACGTAATATTGATCTGAATTGCAGTCTCTAAAAATTATTAATAAAATTTTTTATTAAATTTTAATTTGTTTTATTTTTTACTCTTTCTGCTTTGTGGGCACTAAGACGACCATTTTTCTAAGTCCACAGTGGGGTGCCGGGTGGTGAATGATGGCCCGACAATAACAATATATAGGTACTCCATTATTTATGTGCAGATTATCCGTGCGTGATTACGCCGTGAGAAAAATTTACGTCGGTAATACAAATATTAGCATTAAAATTTAAAAAAACCTCTGTGTTATTTAAAATGTTCAACTTTGATCACATCTAAAGCTTACTAATTAATTAATTATCATTCTCTATTCGTATTTTATTCATAATATATTTAATATAAAGTTAAAAACTAAATAAAATAAAAATCGGTTAGATTTCATTAAAACAGACATGCCGATTATCAGTGTTTCCGCGTTATCCGTGCCTCCATTGTCGGTGATTAGCCCGGATAATCGGGAGTATACGGTGTATATTATGGAACTTACGTTATCCTGACTTAAATAAACATAAACTCTTCCTTCTTCCCCACCGAACTTCTCAGAATATAAGGGAGCGCCGACAAATAGATCTGTCAATTTGTCATTATTGATATCGACACTTAGAATGGATGACCCAAAATATTCTCCTATCTGTAAAATCCTTACTGATCAATCGTCATTGTTATTGGATAGATTTAGTATAATTACACTGTATTAATTACTCACTTGAAATCCTTCTAATTCCAATGTAACTATAGATTCTTCATCAAAGATATAGACCTGAAATCAATTTATATAAATTTTAAATGAACAAATATGAGTTATAAATAATAGACCACATTTTGTGAAAGTAGAAAAGTTAAATATTCCTAGAAGTATGGAAATAAAAGGTGTGTTTATTTTCAAAGAAACTAATTTATTGCTTACATATAGTAAGGATAAACAGAAAAATTATAATACAGAGTGGGGAAGAAAGTCACTTAACATCCCTGATACTCCCTAAAATAATGAGGACGTCGCGTTAAGTGACGTTAGTATCGTTTCCAGTATTATAGCATGTAAAACTTGTTCAAATTACAGTTAACAGGTTTTACATGCTATAATACTGAAAACGATACTAATGTCACTTAACAAGTTTTACTTTCTAGGTCCTCAATTAATAGATGTTTCCGTTAATCATGTAATATACATGTCATCAGATGTCTTCTTCATGCGAACATATATTGTGTAGTTTTTTGAACTATTTCCGTCCTTTAGACATCGAGAGGGCTATTTTTCCAGCCCTATCATGTGTTCTAGTTATGTCCACGATGGGGCGCCGGGTAGTGAAGTTCGCGGCCCGACATAATTTGTCTAATGTTTAAATAATTAACTATAATAGAGCCTACATTATTCTTTTGTTATTGATTTTATTTTTAATTATTGTCATTTCATTACTTTTCCTGCATAATTTCCGGCTCTAGGCGCTCCTGCTGCATACATCATGCTGTCTGAATAAAAAAAGTTTCCTGACGAGACAGAATATCCTGAAAATTATTAAAGTACTTAATGATAAACAAGTTTTTTAATCAAAAATAATAATTTACAGTGATTAATGTAAAATATAATTTTTATGTACGAGTATTTATTATTGAAATATTAATTACCTATATAACTGTCATTTTCTTGAGCTCTCAAGTTAAAACGGAAAAGACTTTTATCAATAAACTTGTCATTTAAGAAATTATATCTTAACACAGTACCTAAATAAATGTTATAATAAATTTACAATAACCCAATTTATGCTAATATCTAGTAGAAAACATACCGTTAAAGAAATCAAAGCCAGGTGATCCGATTAATAAATTATCATTTCCATCCTAAAATAAATAATAAAATAAATATTTTTGAAATATATTGGACGATTATAATGAAATTACCCCTGTTCAACGCTGTCTAGAGAGATATTTATTAATCCAAATGCAACTAAATTTTTTATAGGGACATTTCAGAACACGCGAAAAACATTTCCGTAAAAAAGTATCAAAACTCACCACTATGGCACTTTTGGCGGTTTGGATTCGTTTGGTTTTTGGTTATGGATACACTTAAATAGTGTGGTTTATCGGAGACACGTCGCAAATTTGGCGGTCTAGACAGACATACTACATTGCATGAGAGAAGCATCAATTAATTTTGCCCGTTAAACACACTGGTCATTGTTTTCAAGCTACACACCTTTGGAATGGAGAGCATGTTAAATAGAACCCCCTGTATCGCCAAGGTCAGTGCATAGAAGATTTTTATAAAAAAGCATATGTTATACAAGTAACATGTGTATGCTCTCTAACAAGTAAGCTTGCATGCTGTAGTCTATACTCCTTGAACATACAGCAAGCATAAAGGAATGCGAATATCGCTAACGATGCATAGTCGAGTATGAAGAATTTTACAATTCCTTCTTTTACTATCTCCCTTTCATCTTTTCGTTCTCCATTCTCGGTCCCCCTTTTCTCGCCAGCTAAACACTCTATGTACTGCTATGTATTTCCTCCGTCTATACATAAGTGTTTTGTTTGTTGCTTGCAGCGCCAGAAATGCCATAGGGGTAAGTTTCGGTATTAATTCTTTAGCGGTAATGACTTTTTTATGTTCTGAAATGCCACCATAACAAATTTGGTTGCATCTGCATTATTAAATATCTCTCTAGACAGCGTTTAACAGGGGTAATTTAATTACAATCACCCGGTATGTAAAAGCGATCGTAAATATTATTTGTGGTATACAGGCCTACAAACCTGTCCGAATGAAACTGAGAATCCAGTTTGTGAAGAAGAAGCCCGAATCCAGTAATCTTTTCCTAACATAAATATTAATCATTTGATTATAAGTTTGAAAGCTGAGTGTTTATAATTAAATAGGAGTAATATAATTACGTTTGAAGGGAGTAACTGTTGCCACTTTCCTGAAATCATTACTCAATATATAACAAATACCCACAGGCAAATGTGAATTTACTGATTCAGGTGTCCATAAATGTCCGCATACCTTAATTTAAATAATGAAATGAGAGAAAATATAAAAATTTAAGTAATTTAATTTAAAGTTTACTATCTAAAACTTTTAGATAATAAATTTAAATACAGTTTAAATATAAGAGAAATTTGAAGAATATTTTACAATATGAAATGACCTTACGTGAACTCTGCACAATACTGGTAATTAATTGGTCGTGGATTTGAGCCCAACAAACAGGCTGGCTACGTAGAGTTTTCCGAGTTTTCTGCACGTGTCTAACACCAAAATAGGAGCCAGTTTCTCGTTATAGAAATATATGCCCTAGACTGGAGGGCTAAGATAGTAAAGACGATTCGGGCGATAGTCTCCGAAAAAACAGTTTCAAATCCAAGTTAAATCTTCAAAAACTTTCATATATGATTTGACGTGGATACGCTATACCACATCCTTTCACTGTTCCATTGTAGGCTTGATCAAACATAGATGACTTTGCAGAAAAGGTCTCTTAAATCCGATCCTACTTCCAGAAAAGTACCTTTTCACTTTTTTGGCTCTTTTCGCCCTGTTGACTCTCTAAAACTGTTTTCATTTCACACAATACGCAGTAGATACGAGTTCAGCTAGGACCAAGTGGAGGTGGCTGAGTGGTGAAGGATAGGACCGTTAGTTCACGCAGTGTATACACTGTGTATCGGTTAGTTGTGCTGTTAGATCTGATTAATAACGTTATCACAGCAGGAAACAAAACAAAGCGTGGCAAGCCGGATTTAAGTTCTTGTATGTAGCATCTAGCGTGCAGCAATATGAGGTCAATTTGATGTCACCATGAAAAAACAAATCCACCTGAAGCTAGGATGGACGCACACTGATACAGCAAAAACGCCTTTATACAAAATGCCTTGTTGCACTCTTTTTTGCATATGTGCCGTGATCAATTGTTGCAATTTCAACATCTTAGAGTACCTCATAGTACAGCGATGTCTTCCGATGATAAATGTGCGCGAGTATTATATGGTAAAGGATGTATCTGTGTCAGGAAGAAGGGAGAAGAAAGAAGGCAAAAAGCATCTAATTAATTTAAAATTTGATTAATGGATGCATCTAATTAATTTAAAAAGAATTGAAAAATAATTTTCAAAATTTTCTTAAAGGTGAATTAAAAAACGATAAAATCAAAGTTCGAAATTTTATCTTTGTTGTAATTATCTTTCTTCATAAAATAATTTCTTCCTCTAATTAAAACAATTAACCTTTTTGCATCTACCTCCATATCAACTATACGTGTAAATGTGAGGAGTACATGGAAAGCGTATACTTGTGCGCTTGAATTTCTTCTAGTTAGCTACAAACGCATACGCATAAGAAAATGTTTGCTCGTGGAGCAAGAATTTATGTTTGCAGTTTCGACAGCTTTAAGCGTGCTGAAACTCGTATAATCGTGTTCGATAAGGGTTATGCGTCGAGAACTATGTAATCAAAAAAAAAAAAAAACAGCTTTAAGCATGTTTACTCAAAAACGTTTTGCCTAAAGACGTTTTTGCTGCATCAGTGTGCGTCCAGTCTTAAGGTTAGTTCACACTGACAACGAATCGCTGGAAAAGCGAAATCGAAAAACGAATAACATGTCATATATGACATGGTTTCCGGCGAATAGAGCCGTAGGAATGTATTGGCAACGGGGCATGTCTGCGCCGTGGACTAAAAGACTAATGCATTGTCAAGGGCGCCAAAAAACGTTGTTACTGCTCTGCCGGCGAATTTTAACCACTTCGAAGTTCGCAACTGTCGAGCTTTTTCGTTAGCGATTTCGTTTCTCCATCAATCGTATTCCCGCTAGTTGTCACGTGGTTCTTGTTGTTTTTATGATAGCTACAAAAGCTTTCTCTCGCAATAGAGCAACGTTGAGAGATTATTAGAGGAAATGGAAGCTGTTCTATTTTTTATACAGTATGTAAAATGTGATCCACATTATAAAGATATTCGATTAAAGGAAAATCGGCGGAAGTTAATTATGAAGCATTTTAATTCTGTAAAAAGTTTAATTATTATATAAGTACAAACTATCAGTATATTACGAATAGCTTTTATCATAGTAAGAAAAATTATTAAGAATTCGTGAAGCAATGTATAACGAGATGAACAATGAAGTATGAAACGTTTGTGTTTGAATTATTACTTATTAATAATCTAAATCATTTATTTATATAAGAATATTTGGGGTTTGAACGGATATAAATTTTGCTAAATCAAGTAATGATTCAGTTCATATTTAGTGATATAAGAAAAATAACTTGATTATTAAACACGAAGCTTAGACAATATTTTGATAGCGATAGATTTAAACACCACGACAGATCCTATAAATAAATAGCTTTATAGTCGATTAGAAAATATATTAAATGAATAAGTCTTGTAAACATTTAATTGTATTTTATTTTATTAAGTATTTGTAAAATAATTTAAAGAAGAAATATTGTTATTAATTTTAACTCATTTTTATTTATAAATATTTTAACATGGAAATTATTATTTATTATTATTATTATTTTGAAGATGAAGAAGTAAAGAAAAAGTGGAAAACCTGCTTGGCACCTGCTAGGAAAGAAAAAAAACTATTAAATGAGAAAAACAGAAGTGGTACGGGGTACTGGCATCTATAAAATGTGTATGCAAGTGGAGATGGTTTTACCAAATGAACACGTTAAATAATACAATTTTCACATTATACAAAAGAAAGATTTTATTTAATATTGTAATGAATGACGATACAAGACAGTAAAAAGTCAAATAGTAATAAAACAAAGTTTCTTCAAAGTACACTGTAATCTAGATAAAACCTCACTAATACAGGGTTTTCCTAAGTCACGCGCCATAGGAGATTGTGCAGAAAAGCCTCAAGTGATTGTAGGCAAAGCGTCAGGGATAAGGGTAAGTGTATTGGTTATATGATGCATTATTTCGGGTCTGCAATACTATTAAAAGGAAATTCATTTCATAGAATGATTTGATCACACTTATGAATTATGTGCAATTAATTTCCGTTGGCAGTATTGTAGATCTGAAAAGATGCACCATATTACTTATTACACTACTGTATATACTTGCTCCTGATGCTTCTCTATACGATCTCCTATGGCGGGTGACTTATGATAAACCCTGTATACTTTTTCTTTGATTAGTTTATTAGAACATGTAGTAAACTTATTAATGACCTCACATAGTGAAGATTTGGGAGAAATCTACACTATGTAGATTTGGGAGAAAGTAAAATTACAAAATTATTAAAATTCCTGATCTAGAGTTTTCGTATCCAGAAAGTCCAGATTTTCAGTGTTTCAATGTAATAAAATATTAAATTTATTATGTAGACTTATCAATATATTATTTGTGGTCTATCTAGAAGTTAATATGTAATTTATCTTAGACTATATTATCAGCAAATTAATCATTCCTTTATTTCAAATTACTTAATAATAATGCCAAATGCTCTTAATAGCACAAAGTTTTCCTCTCTATTTTTTGCAATTTCAATTGCACCAATGCATTTAATACAAATATTTGATCTTGGTGAGATCGGCCAGATCGAAAACCTGCTTGCTCCTTACACAAAATATCACATTTAATAATTCAATTTTTAATCTTTTATTTAATAAAAACGTAATAGTTTTTCAATTAAGGAACCAAAGATATAGGCCGATAATTTTTGGGGTCATACACATGGCCGTTTTTTATATATTGGAATAATCAAAGATTCAATCCATTTTTCCGGGAAAGTAGAAATTCTTTTAATAGAGTTAAAAACTTCCAATGTTGTAAGAAGAAAATTTTCTGAAAAACACTTTAAGTATTTTGTTCTAATAAAATCAATTCCAGGTGAGGTACCAAATTTAAAATGGTTAATAGCTCCTTTTAGCTCCAGTGTAAAATCTGTAAAACATTCCGTTCCTATTGAAAACACTTATACACATCCATAGACAATTGTTCCTCATTAATAAGTAAGGAATGTTCTTTAGAGAATTTAGTAGTATAATAATTGAACCAAATTATTGGAAAGATTGAGCTTTTGCGTTTAAAATTAGTTGCCAAAATATTTTAGAATTATTGCATGTCATCAATTTGTTATTTAAGTTTCGAAAATAAGACTGTTTTTTTTTTTTCTTTTGATCTAATAATTTATATTTCTTTAAATAATTTTTATATGAAATATAACATTCATATCAGTATTTAATTTTTTCACTTTCTTAAACAATTTCCATAGATTTTTTCACATGGAGTAACACTCGTTATCATATCATGCGTTTGTTGTATGCTTTTTAAAAGTTACAGATTTAAGGTAATAAATTAAATCTAGAGAGATTGCCACTATTGGCTATACATTCCACCAGATCATTGGATGTGAGGTTTCCTCCATATTCATCTAACAAAACTTTATCCAATTTAACAGCAAATAAAGATTTAAATTTATTCTTCCATATTGCACGTTTACCAGCATATTGTCTATTAGGAACTCCTGATGTTATCAAAGGGATCATTGAAAGAAAAACAGATGAGTGATCAGAGCCTATCTCTAATAAAACGCAGATCATTTACAATATAGGAATATATTTCTTGTGACACTATGACGAAATCAATTACACTGCTCCCCTTAGTTGCATGGTAGGTAAAACGACCTTTTTTTTTATCTCCTGGTGGTTACCAGGAGATAAAAAAGATTTAAACACAATTTAAACACACAAGACTGTTATTTTCACAAAAATGATAGAGAAGTTTTCCTTCTATGATTAATTTACTACCTCGATAGGAGCCAGTTTCTCATAACTTCTCCCAAAAAGCATATCCCCGTCGGCAGTCGCTCATGTATCGTGTTGCCGTAATCGAATAAAACCAAAACATATGGACGATCTTTAGTGAGAGGTGTCTTTCGGAAGGATTTTCTACACGAAATTAGCTTCTATTTAGATATTAGTAGAGAGGCGTTTCCTGTGAAGAATTTCTATGGGAAACTAACCCCTATTTAGATGTGTTACATACGTGAAGTAACCACGGAAAATTCCACGCGGCCAGTTCGTTTTTTAGACACGAACCCGCGACCAGTGTTAACTGAATTTATCCACTGGGCTACTGGCGGCAAACTTTTAGAAACTTTAGCTGTTAATAACGCAAGAACATTAAAATGATAAGTTAGTATAATAATGCGGAAGGCGATTGTTATGCTTACATAACTGTTTTTCCTACATAGGCATAAATAACGATTATTAAAAAGTCAATAAAATGCCATTTTTCTTAAAATGTTGTTAATATCGTGATTGTAAGGTATCATAAACTTATCGTATACGATAAGTAAGATGTTCATTGGATGTTCGTAGCATCTGTCATCGATGATATAGAAAACCAACGAACGTCGACCGGCATGAATTACATGATTCATCTGACGTTACATCGAAGCGCCCAGCCTAACGTCCCGTTTTGATTTCAGATCTGGCCATTTTACATGTCTAATAAATAAAGGCCAGTTTCCAGTAAAAGTTCTTCCGGAGGCATTCCTCATGGGCACATCGCCCGCGAATCGCGTTGCCATATGCAAACAACAATAAGAGTCATTTTCTTTTAACTCTTTTCGTCCTGCGGATACTAAGAAGGCCATTTTAGTCATGTCTAAAACTCATACGCATATGTTGCTACTGAAATTGTAGAATTGATTTGATAAGGTAACGCAAAACGTGGGTAATCAATCTGCTAAGTCTTTCAGGGAGAAGACTTTCTATGCCCCGATTCAGGTGTTAAACAAGGGAAGAAAACCTAGTGAACTCCACGTGACCAATCTGTTATTCAGGCGCGAACCCACGACTAACTATCAGCCCAAAACTCATAGGCTTGCTGGGATGTTATTGAAATAATTAGGCCTACTACTTCTATTAAATGTATTTTTTGTGTTATTAAAATGTTTCTATCTATTCATGGTCCAACGAACACTGGTAGTCGGTCCCGAGTTCACGGTAATCAACGGGCTAGAGCACGCGAAATTTTCTAGATTTTTATTTTTAAGTTTTACCCCATTTCTTGAGGGTGTTCAAAGTTTCTGGATCGAATAGATTTCGATCTGCTACATCTCGCAATGGGTCGCATATGAGTTATTAGTTCCTTTGACTTTTTTGATCTTGTGGGCGGTCAACAACTCTGATAAGGTCTCATTAAGAGCTGAGTTTGTACCCATTAGTAATTAGATCATAATTTGTACCTTTATATAATAATTTTTTATATAAAACATTGCATATTAACATAAAAAGCGCTTTAATATAATTAATTTAATTTGTCATTTTAATGTTTATTCGATAATAATAACAATAATTTTCGAAATTTTAAATAAATAAATAATTAACATTAGTTGAATAACTTACTACGACGTGTCCATTTTCCTTCGTCTGAACATCTAAACTTACACCGAGCCATGTATTTTTTTGGGTTTCAATTTTGTTTCTCCCTGTTTCAAAATATTCATGTATAAATTTAAAGCAATCCTAATTTTATCTTAACGATAAATATTTACCTTTATCTAAAACATATTCACATTTCCTATTAGTTATGTTGCATTTATACAGTGCGCCTGTTAAATCGTCTTTTGTTGCTGCAACTAAAGGCCTAGATTAATTTTTAAAAATATAAATTAAAATATATATAAATATAAATATATAATCATCATTACAATATAAAAATTACTTACAAAATTCCTTCGGAATTGTTATGTATGGCCACAGAAAATCCGAAATAAGAACCAGGTTGACCTTTAAATTTAATTGCTGTTTGTGTTTCAAAATTCCAAGTAATCACATTTGAAAAAAATAAGAGAAAAATTAATTTCTCCATTTATTAGCAATTTGATATTAAAAATAAAGCATTTAATATACAGGACATAATACATCCGTTTTCGTACCGGATCAAAAATACTTAGAAAAGTAAGAGGAAACAAAAACACGAAATGAATGTTATAAGGTTGTATCAGCAGTATACATAAAGTATTTTATTATGGACATTTTAATAAAGATTTTCTGTTACAAATTCATGCATATTTCACTCTAATGAATGAAAAACACACTATTTCCAGGCTTTACTTTCCAGGCTGTTTTATATAGGCCTACATAACAAGGGAAAGTATTGGAAGCGTGTCAAATTTGATCCTTCCGGTCTAAATTCAGCCGTTAAAACGAAATTTAGCGCTGCTGTTCCCTTAACGTCCATATTACTTGCAAAGTGCAAATAAGTTTATTTCAGTTACAGATGTGGAATGTGGAACAGCCTTTTTATTTTTTTATTTTTTTACACTTTCCAGCCCATCGTGGGTTCGGCCAGGTCTACAATGGAGCGGCTGGATGGTGAGGTACCACATTCGAGATGTTTTCGACCTGTCCGAATTCAATCCCAGATCTTCAGATTTCGACATAAAATAAATAAATATTCTGATAGTTTCATTAAACACAAACATGCATTCGTTAATACGAGAGTGAAATTGAAGTTGATTCCTTATCTGAGTAATGTTAAGGCAGCCTTTCCAAACCTATGGTCCGCAGACAGACTTAAATTAATAAAGATTAAAACTTTGTTCAATGATAATTTACTTTTAATACTTTACTTCCAACTTGATTAATTATATTTCCATATGTATTCAAAACATGTTTTTAGATTTATTATGTTATAAATCACACAGTATGTCCCAAATGCTGGTAATACCCACATACGTTTAAAGAAATCAAACCAACATAACTTAGTGGCCCGTAGATTTTTTCAGGCGTTTTACTGATCCTTGGGTTTGAAAAGGTTGAGAAACGCTGTGTTAACGTTTCCGAATAAGACCAATCAAATGTCGTAAATACATTGAAATCAGTTTAGTCATATGAAAAAACGTTACGATTTCACGCACACATTACATGGAAGAGAAGATCCGGATTAGATTTTAACAACGAACAACGGAAACGGCAACGATAATAAAAAAGAGCAGCTTGTGAGTAACCTAATTATCAATGTTACATACAGAGTTTTTATCCTTCAGCTACGTCAGAAAAACTCTTAAAGCATTTGGCTACAAAATATCGACAGGGATTTCTAGCCAAATGCTTAATTATTTACTCTCTGTAGGGAATACATGATAGCTACTTTACAGAGGCAATTATTGTATTCCTTACAGGGAAATACAGGTTTAATAAACCCCTGTAGGGAATATAGATACCAATTCGACGACCTACGTGAGGAAGGATCTAATCACTTCTCTTTCTTGTTTATAGCCGTATAAGTCAACAGTATACGTACCGGTACAAATATTAAATTTTCTCGTAAATGTTGTAATCATTAGCAATGTGCAAATGTTAACTATTTTGCCAAGAGTTATTTATCCTATAATTTTTAGTTCAAAGGTCGAATAAATCGAAAATCGCCAAAATTGAAAGTGTACGCTATCGATTTTTCCAGGTATCAAAATATATTAAACTGTACATTTAGAGCATTTTAAAACTAATTTATAACCTGTTTAAGAGGTTTAAAACCTGTTTAAAGCTTTCATCTATTTTATGTAATTAAAATATGATTTATGCTCGATAAACATTAACTATTACAAAAAGTAATTTTTAAACATATCTACTCGAATATCAGTCAATACAGTTCGTAATTGCACAAAAAGTTAATCGAATTACAAATATAACGAAGATATTTTTACACTTTCCGTCCTGCGGGTACTAAGTGGCCGTTTTTCCATACCCATTATGAATTCGGTCAGGCCCACAAAGAGGTAGCTGGATGGTGAGGGACGAATCCCGTCATATCTGGGACTGATCGTCCATAAAAAACATGGTAAGTTGTTTGCCCGAATTTGAGCTCACGTCCCTCAGAGCATACAGGCTTTAATCCCCTCGGAGTTTTCCCACGATGGGATTGAAAAAAGACTTTCTTAGGGTGTCCACAGGATGGAAAGAGTAAAAAATGAGCGGCATTAACAGAAATTAATCATGTAATTGATTTCAGCATACTTTGATCCCGTTGGAATCTGAAAGCAAAAATAATAAAAGGATAATCTGTCTGAAAACGTGGAAAAATAACTATATCCTGTAGAAAAAACAAAATGGTGATTCTCTTAATGGACTTCTGTCTTAATAATATGGTAAGTTTCGAATAGTTGAATTTTAAGTATTTAGAAGTAATTACAGTATAAATATTTTTAGTGTGTGAGTTAGGACGAATAAAACTCGACAAGTCATGTTAGTCACACAACCTTTCTAACTCTTCTTGAAACTCTACGCAGCAACCTCCACGTGGTGAATTGTAGGTTGTCAATTGTCTCGGAATGACGAAGGGTCACAGAAGAGCTGCGAAATGTAATATATAGATTGGATGAATATAAGCTAATACAAGTACAAATAACAAATGTAATAAAATTAATTAATGTTATGAGAATTAAGTGTTGTAACATTGGTATAGATCGCTTTATTTACTTTACAGGCTATTATATAACTTATGAAATGAATAGAGCCATATGAAATAAATAAGGCCCCTTCAAGAATTTTACATTTTTGGATTATCGGGGACCTTTAAACGTCGCGAAATGAAAAAAGTTTGGGATTTTTTTCTGTATTTATGGATGGGGGCATGATTTTATTTACGCATACTTAAGCTTAATAACTCCTGTGCCTTTTGTCGAAAATTTCTGAAATTTTGCAAGATTTGTGTATTAGGAAGATTGATGCTATTAAATTTTGGTGGTGAAAAGTCGAAGGATGGGCAGAGAATGGGGAATCGTGAGTCAGGAAGATTCGATTTAATGAAGATTTTATTTATTATTACATTTACAAGTGTTTATAAAACTCATCCCTACTCTTCAAACTTAAGCGTTTTACCGTTTTATAATTATTAATAATATATAATTTTTCAAACGAACAATTATTTATTTATCGTGACATCGTCACAATACCGGGCTGCAAATTTTAATCGTAGTTTTTTTTTAAATTTATTTAACTTAAAATATACACTCTCCATCTCAAATTAGCAGTGTCTTGCTCCTGTAAATCATACTTCTCCTGGTAGCAATAAAATCATGCCGGTCATTTATTAACACCTTACAAGGGAAAATGTTTGAATTGAAATAACGTGACTTCCAGTTTGTATCAAAAGTTCTTATATAGTCAATTGAAGCCTCCTGCACTTAAGGTTTTCATATCTGGTTTCGTCTTTCATCTGTATAACTATATTCTCGAGATTAACGAAAGACAGTCTGACGGACAGTCGGACGACAGTGGAAATTTATAGGTCTACAATTTTTTCAAATTGCAGCCCAAATATCATGTGATATTTGATGATATCACATGATATTTTTGATTACATGATATAAGGCTGCAATTTGAATATTTGATTTTCAACCGACTATATTTAGCTTTACAACGTATAACTTTGTTAATATCAGCGTTTTTTTCCCCTATTATAGTGATGTAATTCTGTTTTCGAATTCGATTTAGTATTTATTGTGGAATACATAATTTAATTCCGAGGATAGAAATGTTTAATATTTAATAAAATAAATATTTATTTTGAACGAATAACTTTTAAAACTGATTTCCTGTGTTTTGGTTAGCTAGTAAATTATAATTACGTGTTTCGTAAAATAATATCTTAATAGAAAATTGTTGACTTGTTAATAAAACAATGATAAAAAAACTTTATGTAATTTGATATAATTACAAATATATCTTATTTGAAATAGTATATAAGAGTTACCCAAATGATAAATGGACATACGTCAGAACTGGCGAACATTTATTGCAAATCTTAAAGAAATCTCCATGTTTGTTTAGGTAAATATCTCAACGTCTCATAAGCAGATCATAGAATTCTGGTGGCTGTTAGTAAAAAGATTCTTCGACCCTATCCTTCACCTAGCCCTTCACTTATTCCGAATCTTTGTCCTCGCAAAGTTTTCTTGGGAGGTCGGAAAATGGTAAAGTCGCACGTCAGTAGAAAAAAGTCAATATCACTTTTCCAGCACTGAGCATCGTTACAGACTTACAAGTTGCCGGGGAGAACGAGGAAGCGTATTTGCATTGCTAGCTCATGTTCTTCGTTTCGGAGGTGTAATGGTGGCATCGTGTTTCGTCTCCTGCAACAATACAAAGGAGGAACTCATGGTCTTCGTTATATCGTCGTCTCGTCTATAGATGTCGGCAGTCCTATTCCCTTCAGCCACTAAAAACCGAACTACCGTCCGTTGTTCGATTCTGGACGCTTCCATCGTAATTAACTTAACATTAATCTGCCAATTAATGGAGATAAAATCTATTCTTGCCAATACTTAATGCAGCCCGCGCTTTGCCTATGTTGAGCTTATTCGGCCGTAAAATGGCCCATCAATCGCGACTTTGCACCATGAAATATGACACGTGTCCACTTTTCAATTAGGTAATCTTTATATAATGAAAACACTTATAAAATTATCTAATTTTTAATTTGTATAATGCTTAGCACATTTTGAAACATAATAACAATAAATGATCATATTTAATAAGGAAACATATAGGCCTAATCAACGGAGCACTCAAGGAGGTGAATCGGTAATGATTCGGGCTTCTTTTTTACCCAGTGCTGTAACTAAGCATTGCAACGGAATTTAATTTTTAGTTAAAATTAAAAATTAATTTTGTTTATAATTGCTTTTTTATTCTTATTTTTTCCAAAAATGGGAAGCGAAAAAAATAATCAGTTATAATATATGAGAGATATGAAAAGTTTGTTACGGAACTGCTTTTATCTATCAAATAAACTTATCTATTGCCTTTGTTCCAAAGCGATTAAATGAAGAAAAATATCAAGGTTTTCTAAGAAATTATCTTCTTCCTCTCTAAAATGAAGTGACAGACAAAAAGTTCATTTTCCAGCAGGATAATGTGCCTTAAATTTGCTTCATGAAATACTCAGCACGTTCTACAATAGTCTGATTTGTTGAGAATAGTATGAAGTATTGATGTTCTTTAATGGCCAAGTTATAGACTTGACATAAACTTCATAGATTCTCTGTTAGATTACTTGTTAGTAAAGATTGTGATAACGAATACGATAATATTTCCGATTTAAAAACTGCAACAGTAACCTCAAGAAACAGATCAACTCTGACAAGCTAAACACTCTAATTATGTCAATGCCAAATCGACTTATTCATGTTATAATAGCTAATGGCAGTAAAATAAAATTTTAGATTGTAATTTTACATTAGTCATATTATGTTTTTGAAATTTCTTAAAACCATAGGTAATATTTTAGTTACTTTTTATTTATATTTAGTAGTAATAAATAAAATATTGAAAAGAAATTGGTCTGTTTCATCCACAACTTTAAATGCACTAGTGACCCTAAATTTTTTTCTAGCACCTACATACATTTGGAGAGAAAAATCAAAAAGAAAATCATAAAATAACTTAGTCATAAACATTAGTCTAAGTTCGATTTTAAACTTTTCGGACAATTTTGGAATGTCACCTAACAGTGCTATACGGAATAGTAGTTGTCTGTTTAAATATTATTATTTTATAGTTTATACTTTTTAAAAAATTCTAGCAACGAATTGCTTAACTGAAATCTCATTGCAGAGAAATGCAACAAGATTTAAAACTGCGTGTGGTTCCATCTGTTACTATATTTTATTTTAAAAACCTTTTACATAATTAATTATTATGAAATAGCAAAAAGTTTAATTTTGGGTAGGAATGAGTTTTATAAAAGAATTGTAAACGCAGTAAAATCTTCATTAGATACTCGAGATATGATACACGATCCTCTCCTATATCCCCAACTTCTCGACCTTTAACCATCAAAATTTAATAGCATTAATTTAAAGCTTAACTCCTGTGTCTTTTGTCTAAAATTTCTGAAATTTTACAAGGCGATTTGTGCTTTGCCTATTCTCAAATTTAAGCTTTTTGCCATTTTATAATAATTAAAAAAAAAAATGTTAAATAAAATCTCATAACAGCTGGGAAAGTTACGCAATTCCTTGCTTGATTTTTTAAAAGAATTCTTAAATTTGCATTTAAGGTGTTATAAACACTGAAAAAATTAAGATTTTCCTAATTTTTACGACTTATTTGGACGTGTGTAGCGACAATTAGTCCTTCATTCCGACTTTATCTCGCAATGGAAGCAACCAGAAAAAATTTAATTAAAAGTTTTTCAAATTGTTTAATTGTTTGTGTTTCTTCCAATGTCCTTTACTAAAAAATAGTTTTTGTATGGCGTTTGGTGTTAAAAGCTAAAAGTATTTTGACGCCTCATTGAAAAAGTCGAGTAAAAAATAAAATTTATGCGAAAAATTTAAATTTATAGTTATTTTGTTTCGCTGATAAGTTAGTTACAATATTCTCTCCTTAGATTTATTAAGTAAAATTGAAATATATTGTTAAGCACATCATATTATATTAAGTGGCTTATCGTATTATTTTTATCGGTTTGTATGGAACTGTAACTAATCTTCCATTTCTCCATACGGATATTATCTCTTTTACACGGATTTTTCGGAAATGTCTACCGTATAAAATAGAATTGAAATTATTCTATATCTTTACAAAGTTAAATAGTAGATTTTAAATTCATATTTGTCTAATAAACAAAACCTGGCTTCAGAAATTGATTTCTTCAATGAAAGCAATGAAACATCTTCTATTGGAAGTATAACTAGGCTAAATAACATTAAAAATTTTGATATAATGAATGGAAAACAGTAAATTGGTATTTTTTGTGTGTACTCCTCTATTATTTATATATTTTTACTTGTGGTATGCCACAGAATTCTGAGAAGAACCTAGGTGAGGAGAGATTGTGGAGTACTGAACTAATCGAAAGTAAGTGTGTGTGTGTATTTTGCATTATAGGCTATCTCAGAACTGGATAAACCAAAATTTTAAAACTTGGCAAGATTATTTCTCTACATGGGGAATTATTGCCATTAAATTTTTGTAGTTAAAGGTCAAAGTAGTGGAGAGAAAGAGAATTAATTATATGTCATATTTCGAGCGGAGTCAGACTTAGTGAAAATTTTGCGCCTGATTGACATTTATAATTTTTTTAAAAAAAAACACTCCTACTCCAAAATAAGGGTTTTGCACTTTTTATAATAATTAATAATATAAAAGTTATTTTTAAAATAAAGATTAATAACAGATGGCGCCACACATAAATAATTTTAAACATACATAAGGTGACTGCCGATGAGGTAAAGAAGACATTCGCCTACCGCTCTGAATGATCCGAAATCGAATCTGAACACTTGAAAAATGCCGGGAATCTCTCATGGCCGGTCTGTCACCAATATATTGGGTCTCTTCCCTTACCACTTACCCGGCTCTCCATTGTAGTCCTAGCCGAATCCACGATTGATATGGAAAAACCTTTTTGGTGCCCATACGGAAAGAATTTCAAAAAGAGACTCGTAATAAATTTAGATTTTTATTAATATACAATAGAAAATTCAGAAGTTTTAGAGGGTAGAAAGGAAAAGAAATATGGCTTATAAAATTTTTTACTGCTTGAAATACTTGACTACTAGGAAGAAAAAATCCCCGTAAATCCGCTCCTGTTAATAATTATTTATTGATTGAAGGAAATAATTTATGTAATTCTATAAATAATTTTATAAAAATAATCCATTAACAAAAGACAAAATTCATTTTATTCTTTTTATAGGCCTATAATTTTTACTGCTAATAATAACCATCGAATTTAATAATTGCGTACAAATATAAATTGAGTCGAAGAAAATATATATACAATTTTTGATTTCACGATTTTGTTATAAATTTTACAATTAACGAATTTTGAAAATGTTTTAAAATAATAGAATATTTAAATACATCTGTATTCTGAAATCTGATTATTTTGTTTAAAATTAAAAAAGTGGCATATTTGGATCGGATTTCAGCACGCTGTCTGCCCATCTGTAAAATAAAGATAGTTTATATTAATATTCAAAATTTATTATATCAATTTGCCAGATTAAGAATATTTAGTATAAAATTTAGTATTGATGAGCTAAGGCGTAGCAACGTGTGGGCAATTTGCCAAGAGGGAGAACCTCCCGATAGGACTTTCTATGAAAAACTGGCTCATATTTAAATGCTAGACTTGCAAAGAAACCCCAAAAACTCCACGTGGCTAGAGTTTAACAGTAACCGAGGATAAAACCACTAAAAACTGATAGGGATGTTAGTTGGGGTTCTGCGTGGAGTTTTCCGAATTTACTTCACGTATCCAACATCTTAATAAGGGCAGTTTTTCAAGAAATTCCTCCTGGAAGACATTCCCTTGGCAGATCGGTCATGCGTTGCCGTATCCCATCAAACCAAACCATGTGGCCAAGCTATTCGGAAGCGAATCCGCGACCAGTGCTCAGTAGTTTTATCCACTTGTGTTTTAATTAAACTTTTTATTATTAGATTTATACTGTATTTACTTAGTGACATCGCTTCGAATTGTTGGATATCGTTGCACGAAAGCCCAAGGAGGTAAAAGTTTTCCCTTTCGAAACTCTCTTCCCCACCATCCATACTCTTCATTAGCCGTCAATGGTAGTCGATATATAGCAAAGGGTGCTAAGAAAAATGCAATTTTTCTTATTTAGTTTGAAAAACAATTTACTTAAATAAATAATTTCTGCACATTTCTTACGTTTTCGTTTACAGGCGGGCTTTCTACTACCATTCCAATACCACTGTCGATCGAAATTAAACTCATTGAGATAAAAATAATGATTTTTAATTCGTTCGTATGGTACTTCTCTCAAAACTGAAGGTCTCAAATCTCGATCACAGATTAAATCTTGACGAATGATTAAATCAGAAAAAGGATTCTCGAATCCTAAATGAGTAAGACCGAAAAATGTCATTCTTTAAATAAATTTTTACGCAATTATTTGAGATATTATTGAGCTTATTTAATTGTTTAAATGAAAAAAAAGAAAAAAATTTCGCAAAAAATTAATATGATTCGAAAAATCATGATCTTTGGAATTTTTTATTTTTACAAGAAGTGTCGACATTTATAAATATTTGTTTGTAATCAAACGATATCGCTAAATTTTTAAAATTTGGCTATAATGTGGCTAATTATAAAGCTATTTAATTTGTTATATTTGTTTACTTGATTAAAATTGAATTGATTAAAATAGAAATAATTAATATTATCCTTTGTAAATATTAAATAAAATGAATAGAAAACAGTATTTTTATAAAATTGAAAATCTTTTTAACGTAATAAAATATAAGTTTATAAATATTTTCGAGATAATTTTCCTTCCTGTTATATGTCAAATGCTTTAAAAAATTGACCCTAGAGGCGCTCCTCGTTTCCTATTCCGTTTATAAGAAGGCCAAATATGTTGAAAGTTCATATACGTAATGACTTCGCAGGATTACTTAAATATTTAGAATATCTGTAGAAATGAAATCGTTCACATTTTATATATTTTATAATATTTTAACGAAAATATTTGCCTTTAATATCGAATCTAGATTTCCATTAATTTTTCATGGCAGCGAAGATAGTTATTTCGGCTATTCAGTAGCACTTCACGAAAATAGTCAAGGAAAAATGTAAGTAAAAATGTACTTTGTAAAATACTAGTCTAATCAATGCGTTAGATATAATAATAACAAAAAAATAATAATTTATAATAATTAAATAACAGCAGGTAAGCTTTCTGTTAAGTGAAAGCGCTAAAAATCTTTACGGAAAACTATATTAAATTTACTTATTTTATTGAATTTTATTCAATAATTGTTAAATTTTGAATAAAATTTAATATTCTTATTATTTAAATACTTATAATTTATAATAATTAATTAATTTTTTAAAACAATAACCAAATTATTCTCTTGAACTATGAGGGGCTTAGCGGTAGGAAGCGGACGTGTACGTGTTTTGTAACATTGTAAAACAGGATGACAGACGTTTCCTGTTTGTATTTCCATATAATTATACTTTACCTATGATATAGAAAGCTTAACTGATGTTAGTTTGTACACATAAAACGGTAAAATGTATTTAAAAATCCTCTTCCAGGGCTTTAATAACGGCGACTAAAGCAAACTCTACTTTAGTGGAAAGACAAAAGTTACACGAACCTGGAGTTTTATATAAATGTAACATCAGTTCATCAGAATGCCAAGAAATCCTTTTAAACAAACTAGGTACTTTAATTCTTAAAAGTAATTTTATATTTGTAAATGACGTGTATAAATTTTCATGAAATATAATGTAAATTTATAAATTCATACGTTCCTTGTCGATAATATATTATAAAATAATAATTGATGTCATAAACTAGTGAGTTAAATTTTTTTATAGATTATATAGTACCTACTTTGACTCTTTCTGATCTGTGAGCACCAAGAGAGTCTTTTGCACCATACCCATCTGGATTCGGCCAGGTCAGCAATGACGGTAGTCGGGTGGTAAGGCCTGACATGTGCGAATTTCCATGTGCCCACCAATAGCCGAATGGATAAAACCACCGAACACTGGTAGTCGGTCGTGGGTTCGTTCCTTGCCAACGGGCTGGCCACGTGGCATTTTCTGGGTTTTATTCGCGTTCGTAACTTCTAAATATGGGTTAGTTTCCCATAAAAGTCCCCCCGAAAGGAATCCTCTCTGCAGATCGCCCTCCGTAACCAAATAAACCAAACCAAACCGGATGTCCCTAAATATTCCTCTGCCCGGATTCAATCTCGGGATCCTCGATGGGGTAGGATGACACCTAAAATCTCAGCCGCCTAACAGTACATATTATAAATATTTTTTGAAGTTAATAAATGCGTTGCCATTTTACAGACATTTTTCTAGTATACATGTAATATAAGGTGATCTAGGTAACAAACAGCTAATTAAAAATTGTAATGACATTATTCATTTTATATGAAGTAAAACACGTCATATACCGCTGTGCGTCGTATCACCCTCTATCGTGGTTGCATCAGCTAACGTTCAGAACGCGTTATGGCTTTTCTTAATCACCGCAACGCGTAGTGGTCAAATATTACGAACGCTACGACGCGAATTTCGTTTTTGTGGATGATTTTAAAAGATCACGTTGTGGTCGGTTTTTTCGCTCAATGAGCGTTTTCGTTCTTCGAGTCTAACATATATACTGCTTAGAAAATGTTTTGCTACTAATTCGTTTAATGAGCATTTTCCTCCACTTTTCATTGGCATTTATTCCATTTCTATTTAATTCGCATTTATGGAAGAGCCAATGCAACACAAGGCGAGATGCCTCTTTAGAGAACTTTTTTTTGAAAACTGCCTCTATTCACGAAGAAAACTCGGAAAACTCCACGAGGCCCAACTCCACGAACCCACGGCGAACAACTAGTGTTCAGTATTAATGCTCGCTCCCAACGACCATTAGTGGGAACGGACATCAATAGAAACTTAGTTTTAAATTATTACACGTATTATCAGTTTACAATATGATAGTTTTTTAAATTTTGCTGATTACGGACATAGTTATCAGCCATATGAATAAATGGTAGGGAGCGATTTGCCGAACACAAATTATCGTGAAATCAGGTCGGATTCGAATAAACATTCTTTACAGCAGTAGTAAAATCCTATATCGCGACCGTAAGCAGTGCTGACGAGAGGGGGAAGCTGACAATTTTTTCCCGAGCCCAGATAAAACTTAGTGATTCATACTGCTATAACATTAACACTATTTTAGAAACAGAAAATAAAATTTTTAAAACTGCTTTTTATTAATAAATCTTCCACTTATTTCATCTTTTCAGAGGACAATAGGCTAGAAGGATCCGCTAAAAGGCAAAATGGGTCCCATACAAGTTCTCGACTGCCGTGGTCTTAGTCCAGAGCGCTCAGTAAGAATGGCGAAGTTGGATCTTTCCGAGATCGGCCCAGCAATGGCTAAGCGAATAAAACTTGCCATCTGGTTTTTCTAAGTGTTTTCTGGGTTTTCTTCACGTGTCTAATACTTAACCAGGGGTTAGTTTTCTATAGAAATTCGTTCCTGGGGGCAGTTTCCCCTTGGCAGATCGCTCATAAGTTGCGTTCGCATACCATCTTATGATGGTATGCGAACGCAACTTTGGTTTCTTTGGTTTAATGGTATGCGATCTCATAAGATCGCATACCATTAAACCAAAGAAAGCCTTAATTAAAGAAATAAAAAGAGCTTCTATTCTGTTTACACATAATAAATTCTATTCTGTTTCCATTTCTGTCTTTATATACTTATTATTGGAAAAATATATCTAGATCTTCTTTTATGTCTTCATTCCAGTCGGTAAAATATCGCATTTCAGTTGCTTGAATTCCGCTCCATCCATGATTCAGAACTATACAATAGAACTAACGTTGTCATAACATTATTCAATTTGACTTTCGGCTTTATCTGCTACTTAAGGTGTTTCAAATAATACCACAGATTGCTTGATTCTGCTAATTAATTGTTGATATCACATTGATGACATTTTTTTTAAGTTTCGAAAACAATTCGAATCCATAGAGACACCTAATACTTATTCGTATCATGAGCGAATGCCTAAAAGCTTAAATAACGCGCAGGGCCATGAAAAATCAGAATTGATCTTACACGTCGCGCTGAAGGTTCTCTGAAGTTCTCACTCTACTTTTTATTAGCTGAGCGCTAAAATAATTTATAAGCGCATAAGTGTAAACATAAATTAGTGGTGGGAATTTAACACATACTGTGGAGAAAACGATTTATATATAAACTAATCGTGTTGAAGCTATGTATTGTTCTAAAACGGAAAATTTTTTATAATTCTTTTAGCATATTTTTAGGCAATAAGCGAATATTACTAAATTCCATGGGTATCCGCAGAGGGCCAAACGGAACACTTGCTCCCCTGAGATCGAGTGAAAAATTTTTCTACAAGTTATAATCGTAAAAGTAATTGAGATATGTAATCTTACACCTTCGACTATGGGATTCTTTCTCTTTTTGTGTTGATGCAATACTGTATTCTATAACTATGAAAAACCTCCAAAACATAAGTTATTACTATGTTTGATTGCTGATGGAATTACTTTATATATTTGGATCGGCTCGTCCATATCACACGAATAATGTCTTTAGCCCACCACGTGTCCAAAAAAACTCCGATTACTGGAATAATAGCATGCCGAATTATAAGGACAATTCCGGATTACTTTCCAAGCGTGCCGGATTACCAGATTTCCGGGTTATCGGGTGCCGGATTAACGAATCTATACTGTAATTAGTATAAATGATTAAGTGCGTTAACCGAGTTAATAAAATTAACAATAAATATTTATATATTTTAGCCAATGAAAATTCTCAAGACAATTCAATTAGGTATCACGCTAAAGAAGATGAGATGTGGTTGGGTGTAAGCCTTGATATTCAACCGACCGAGGGAAATATTGTAGTAAGTCTTGGTTGAAAATAAATTTTTTAAAATCATTTTGCAGCAATTTCTTTACAGTTTTATTTATTTCGACAGACTTGTGGCCATCTTTGGAAAAATCAACTTTACAAAACTCATTACTTAACTAACGGAATTTGTTATTTGATCGATAAAGATATGAGGAAAAAGCATAAAAAGAAAGTATTACCTTTTATAGCAAAAGGTATTTACGATCATTTTATAAATTTATTTGAAACAAGTTTTATTTATTTGACCTTATATGCCAGTCTGTAATTTGGTATTTTTTAAGCCTGAAAAAATCTAATTTTCCAAAAATATGACTAGACTTATACAGAGGGAGTGGTAAACAAGTGGAATAATACTCTTAACAATCGTAACTACAGCAGGCTGTCACGAATATTTCCAACTAAAACTTGTTTTTTGATTAATTTGTTAAACATAAAAGTTCATATAATAAATTTAAATTTAGTATAAACGAACACTACACACGTACATTATTGATGCAAAATGCAATTGATGCATTATAAGCAAAACCATATTGCAATGTTTTGCTGCTATATAGCACATGATAGTATTTAGTGGTACTATTATAGTACCATACTGTATAAACTGTTAATATTTTATAACGGCGTTGCTTTTGGTTCGAATGTGTTTAACAGTAGATCTGATGTATAATAGAGATATCTTACTCAAGATTTTTAGCGGTTGCTAGCGTCCTGCATAGATTCTATTTTCCACATCCATTTATATGAGCTACATAGCATACGAGGTAAAGCAAAAAATAAATCGAACTTTTCGCACAGATTTTTTAAACAGCACATAGAAACTCTTTTATGACATTACCTTCAAGGTAATCTTCAGCTATAAATTTTTGTCAGCATTCATACTATAATTGCTAAAACAGTCTTAGAAACCTCCCTTTTTAATCTTTTATCAGATGAATGTTTTAAGGGCTTTCTTTGAAGCTTCCAGATACGGCTTTCATCGATCGTTCCTGGTTCACTAATCTGAAATATCTGACTAATAAGGAAAAACAGTGCATCCCTAATCTATTTACTCTCCTTATCTTGCCCTCGCATAATTTATCTGTTCCTAAAATGAAACTTGAAGGAATCAAGTTCTAATCAGCAACAGAATGGAAGTCAAAGCGACAAAGTACGGTAAAGACATCACAAGAAACAGCTTCCAGGCCTAATTTGACGAGCAGTATGGACACTGACAGAAGTAACACTCTTATCCCCAGCGTGCGTACCACCACAGCTAGAATATGGGCTTATTTTCAAAGTGGTGTGATATAAGAGTTTCTATTTGTTGTGTAATAAAACCTGTGCTAAAAGTTCGGTTGATTTTTAACTTTATCTTGTAGGATATATTGAAAGGTTAGTTCGTGTCTCCATGAAAGTAATGTGACATTATAATTTATGCTTTCGTCAAAGGTACCTTATATCATATTTATATTTCAGTTCTAACCAAGAACATCCGCAGGGTTTTGTCTCATACTTAACATGCCAATGTATATTATGTTCTATATTCATGAACAATAAACATGTATAAAAAACATACAAAATCTACAACTACCCCTATAATACATAGCAACTCCCAAATAGTACAGCATCTTCAATATGGGCTTATGCCGAGCCTTCACCATAGCAAACGCAGATGATAGTTACTTCACTGTTACGACTATTAAAAAACAAATTACTCTTACAAAAATCACTATTGTTTTATAAATTGTTATTTGGAATAAGCAAAAAATAAAATAAAGCAAGTCTCAGGAAGAACAACTACTCTCTCTGACCCCTTTCCGTGGGATCCTTCGGTTTTAGCAATAGCCTACTATAGTTTAGAGATCAACTTATACGCCGGCATATATGGTAAATATGATCAAAAATACAGTATAATAATACAATTTAACAATATAATATAATATAAAGCAATAGAAATAAGATGTACAACTCAATAAAAATACGTGAAGATACCACACTAGATGATTAGTACAGTTTCTATATTAATAAATATATTATTTAATAAAATTTAATTTTTTAATCAGAAATTAATATAAATATACCGCGTATTAATTCAGACAGGCAGAGTTTAGACTCAGGAGCATATTATTACGCTTTTGCTCAAGGAGGAATGTCAGCAGCTTTTAGCGAGGTATGTAAATATTCACTTTATCGATCAAAAATTTATATTTATTTAATTATTATTTTGTTTTGTAGGATGGTAAAAACTTATTAATAGGATCACCAGGATTTTACGACTGGATAGGTAATCAATACATTTATACAGTTTTGGTTTGTTGATGGGGTACAGTAAAGCAATGTATGGGCGATCAGCCAATGCAAGAGAGTTCCTCCAGGAAGACTTTCTACGGGAAATTGGCTCCTACTTAGGTGTTAGGCACACGAAGAAAACCCAGAAAACTTTACGTGGCCAGAGTGTTGACACGCACGAATCCGCGATTGTTACGTTGGGTTGTTGCAATTCGGTCACTAATAAACAATAAAACCACCCAACCAATGTTGGGTGGTTTTATTGTTTATTAGTGACCGAATTGGTAAAACCACTAAACGCTGGTAGTTAGTCGCGGGCCCGCGCGAGCTGACTACGTGGAGTTTTCCGGATTTCTTCAAGTGCACAACACCTAAATAGGGACCAGTTTCCCATAGAAAGTTCCTCCGAGAGGTATCTCCTTTTACAGATTGCCCATGTATTGTGTTGTATTCCATTAAATCAAATCAAACCAGTAATTTCATCCACTTGCCCATTGGTGGATCATTTATATATACAACATTTAACTACTATACAACATATAGCTACTAATACATTTACAATGTTATTATTTATTAGGCACAGTCATAAATTATTTAATTCCTGAAAATTATGAAAATTTATTGCCACCAATTGTTCCGAATCCACCAAAAGGAGAGCAAACAACCGACTCTTATATAGGTATAACATTTTACGAAGTACGTTATCATTTATATGAAACAATTTTTATTTTCAAAAACGTGTTATAATCATCCAGGTTATTCGGTAACAAGTGGAAAATTTTTTGAACTAGGAGAATTGCAGTTTGTAAGTGGAGCACCGAGAGATGGGCAATATAAAGGGCGTGTATGTTACAATAAAAAATAATACAAACTTTATATTACGCAAGCTTTTTGCCAATAATAATTTACTTTATAGATTTATATATTTGAAAAGTTGGATATGAAAAATCGTAATATAATTGTGCTACAAACAAACGATGGAGAACAAGTAAGTTAACTGTTCTTAATATTTAGTGTAAATTCTTGAATTTATAAAATACCATTAAAAATAACCTGTCGAAATTGGAACTGTTTTTTTTTTTTTACTTCATTCAGATTCGGTAGTTTGTTACTTTGTTACTTTGTAATAAAGTGCACAGCAGCTTAGCTTCAGTTTTGAGCTCTGGGGATCTGGTATCGAGTCCCGGCCTTTTACTCTTTCCGTCCTGTGGGCACTAAAATGGTCTTCTTTATCGAGTCCTTCGTGGGTTTGGTTAAATTCCCAATGGGGCTGCCGAGTGGCGAGGGACGGGACTCGGAATATCTGGGATAGATCACTCCCAAAATATTCCTGGGGTTTTTCGACCAGTTCGAATTCGTCCCTGGGTCCCTAGAGCGGTAGGCTGACATCTTAAACGCTTGGCCATGAGGTCTAAATCGAGTCCGGGCTACGAAAGCCTGGATTTCGCACGGTGGCTAGTGGTCTCATGGACCAACTGAAAATAAAGCGGCTGCCTCTCCAGATTCTGCATTGTGTGACGGATCAAATTTAAGAGAGTGGATCTCCAAGTGAGGAATACAGGATAGGGACCAGGATGGGTCTTTCAGGCCTAAGTCGAACCTGGGAAAATTACCCAGTACTGAGGTCTGAAAGACTTCAGTGCTGTATGACTTCCCCATATAATAACAAAAGTACGCTTGTGCGATTCTGATTTTTCGGAATATGTCTTCCGATCGGGCATTTTGAACTTTTCCGATCGGGCATTTTTGTGTTTAAACATGGAAAATCGCTCCGTTCTCAAGAACTTTTCTTTTTAAGCAAGTTTCCGTTTTATTCAGTCCGTTTTGGACAGGTTTTACTGTATAATTATTTTATGTTGCGACTTCATTTGATAAATAAATCTGATCATTTCAGGTTGGATCATATTTTGGTGCATCTGTATTGGGCATAAATGTAAATAATGACAAATATACAGATCTGTTAGTGGGTGCTCCATTATACTCCTATCCTTCTGGGGGTGACGAAGGAAAAGTATATGTGTATATTAGTAACGGAAAGGTGATTGCTTTAGTTTACAAGTAGTGTTTTTGTGTTAGACGATAATAAATTCGATTTAAACTTTTTTTATATTATGCAGGGATTAGATGAAACTCAGGCTCTAACGGGTTCTAAAAAGTTTTATGGTAGATTTGGCACAGCTATAGCTAATGCTGGAGATTTGAATCAAGATGGATTCTTAGGTACATTTAAGAATTTATATTTATAAAATAATTATTATGGCAAACTAATTTATAAGTAAGGTTTTTATTTAAATGTATCCAAGGTTATTGTGGATGAGCATTGAATGTAATTAGCATAATATTCGTGTTGCAGATGTTGTCATCGGAGCACCATACGAAGAAGAGAGAGGTGCTGTGTATATCTATCATGGAAATAACATGGGAATTAATTCCGAATTTTCTCAAGTAATAGTTTATAATTTTATTACGGAAGAATTTTCTTTTAATATTAAAATTTTTAAATAAATAAACAGAGAATTACGGCAAAAGAAGTGAATGCTGCCATTAAAAGTTCACACTTATCAGGATTTGGTATTTCTATTTCTAAAGGAAAAGATATTGATGATAATAAATATCCAGGTATTTTTACATAATGTTATTATTGAATTACATATTAATTATTAAATAAAATATTGAGATACTAATCAAAATTTCAGATATTCTAGTTGGATCGTATCAATCTGACAATGCTGCACTCTTTAGGTAAGAATTACGACGTTACAGTATATTGTACATAGTCTTATCTTAACAGAATTATGAGTATAAACAACATTTAGCATAACTTGATAAAATTGTTATTAATTTTTTGCATAAAATATGTATATTTTTAAATTTTAAATACTCTTATATATCATTATATATATTTTGTCTATATGGTATTATAATTATGAAAAACGTCAATAAAATAATAACCCACATAAGTTGGCATTTAAATAATTGTTATAATATAACAATTATTTTGTTTTTTAACCATTTTAAGTCATGCTAATCATAGTATTATCATAGCTAATATTATTCAATTACATTTTAAGCATTATCTTGGAGTATATACCGTATGTTCTGATTTTATTGTATTAAAATTTAACATTTCTAACCTAAGAAAATATTATTAATTTTATCATCAGAACTCGCCCCATTGTTCGAATATCTGCCATTATAACGTTTAAACCGACTCAAATAAACACAAATTCATCATTTTGCGAAGATAGCGGCGAATCGATACCATGCTTCATCATATCGTATTGTTTAAATTATACTGGAAATCACGTGCCTTTAACTCTAAGTAAGTTCGTTTTTCTCTCTCTTTTTTTTTCTTTTGTTGCTGTTGTACATTGTTTTATGCAGGAAAACTATTTTTATAGATGTATCAACGGAATTACGTTCTATGCGTCAAAGAGAAGAATTAAAGTTCCGAAGATATCTTTTATATAAAAACAGATTATCGTGGAATCTTCTGGAAACAGTTAAAATTGAGAAAGATAAACAAAAATGCTTCTCTCAGACAGCTTTCGTAAAGGTAAATATGCTGAATATCGCTATTTTTATTTTATAATTTTTGGGTTTGTTGGAATACGGCAACACGTGGGCGATCTGCCAAAGAGGTACAGTACCTCCCAGGAGGACTTTCCATGGGAAACTTACCCGTATTCAGGTATTAGACACGTGACGAAAACACACAAAACTGAGCACTGGTAGGCTATTTTAAACAAAATAAATTATTTTAGGAGTACGAAATATTTAGGAATATAAAATATTTTTGTTTTTCAGGAAGATAAAGATGATTTTATTACTCCAATCAATATAAATCTAAGATTTCGGCTAACATACAATGTTTCTAGCGAAACTTCTTTCTGCGAAACCTGCCCTATTTTGGATTCAAGTAGTATTAATATTATTAATAAAATAGTAATATCAAATATAATATTATCAAATATTCTGTATTATTACTTCAGAAATTTTCAATAATAAATTATTAATCTGTAGATCACTTTTCAAACTGGTTGCAGAGAAAGTGACACTTGCATCTCTGATTTAGTTGTAAATGCAACAGTGCTGGACGAATTCGGGTAAGGGTAATTATAATTTAGCCTTAACTGTTAAATGATTTGCTATTTAGATTCTTTAATATAAATAATATATAAACACTTACAGTCCCGAAGGTTTAATACTTGGAAAACATACAATCATTACTTTATCTGTAGAAGTTTGGAATCTTAACGAGCCAGCATACATGACTGAACTTCAGATCATTCTTCCAGATCAAATTAAAATCATTAACCAAGACAGCTGTAGCCCAGATGATGAGCATAAAGATAAAATTTTACTATGCAATGTAGGAAACCCATTAAAGCAAGACCAAATCGTAAGTAATATACGAGTGCCACTATGAATAATATTAAATACTTGAATACTATGAATATTATTAAATACACGAAAGTTTGATGAATAATATTAAATACCATTTCGGTACTAATAGTGATCAGTGGTTTATATCAACTTGGCCACTGGTGGCAAGAAGAAGAAAAGATACACAAGTTAGCAAGATATTTTTGTAAAATTTTTCTACATTAATAAAAAAGTACTTTATTATTATACAAAAGAAATACAATTCAAAAGCCACGTTTGTGATAATGTAACATATACTAAAACTCCATAAATTTAAATGTAAAGAACTAAAACAAAATATTGATATATAATCCATTCGGCGATGGAGACTAAAGCGACAAACCATTTACATACAATTTATGAGCATGATATAGCATACACGATGCGCATTTTATTATACATTGCTATTTAATGCAACAAATATAATGAATATAACACTTCATTGTTATGTAATGCAGCATTAAATACATAATACAACATTATATCTCTTAGGCACAATTACCATAAGATTTTAAGTTACAAAGTATATTTTTAAAAATTCCCGTTTTAATTTAAGAATAGTCTAAAACATTATATCTGAAATATTTACAATTTATTTTCTTTTCAAATACCGTCAAACCTCTGAACAACTAACGGGAACACGAAAGATGATCGTTATTTGGAGATGATTTTATATTCATTTCAAATAGCCTCCTTTTACAGAAGATTGTTCGACAGTACATTAAATAATTAAATATACAGATATCCCTCTTATAACGTTCCGAAAAAGTGCGTGTTACGTGAATCCGTGCTACACGAAACAAAGGACTAATGCGGTTGGGTTCCAAAATTTAACAAAAGTATACTATTCTTTTTCATTACTCATAGAAATATGTTTATTAAAGCAATCGCTAATTTATATTTAATCAATAATTAGTTAACAATCACAATTAAAAGTACTGTATTACATGTTAATATTAATTTTAGTTAAACGACTGCGTTTCTTTTTAAAAAATATCGTCGTCTTCTGACCTTTTTTGCCGATCTCGATCAGAAGTATCAGCAGCATTTTCATATATTTTTATTTTTATTATAAAAATTGTTATGGATGCGAAATAAAAATATATTATTAATCGAAAATTTGTTCTAGCGAGTCGCGTTTGTTCAGTCGAGTACCGAGCAACTTTTTTCCATAATTTGTGTTCGAATACCGCCGTATGATTGCTTACTTAACAGTTAAAAAAAAGTTTAATAACACTTACCTAAACATGTTTAAATAAACTCTGCTAAATACGAAGATTAATCTATAAAAACAAAACACGGTGACAGTCTACAAAGACTACAGTCTAAAAGCAACGACAACGATACCCGGTTGATAGGAAAGCTAGTGCAATTTTTTTCTTCCTTCTCCTATCAGTTCTCGTTAAAGAAAATTTGGGAAAGGCACAAAACAAATTGAAAATTTCTATTGATATATTGTAAAATCCGTGGGAAAAATTTGAGACAACACGCGTGCTTATTCGAATAAAATAAATCGAATAACAGAGTGAACACTTAAAAACTGTGAAATTTTATACGGAGGATTTCCCAAACCGTATTAGAGAAGTCGTGTTGTACGAGGAGATATCCCCAATTTTCAAACTGTAGAAGTACCGAATTGTACGAGGGACATCTGGACATAATTACTAAAATTGTTAGATTAAAGTCTATCACGGGTTGAAGTCAATTATGAATTGTTTCACATTCAATGTTTTTAATTATTTCACATTTAAAAAGGAAACTGGCTCCTATTTCAGTGTTATACACGTGAATAAAACCCGAGAAACTCCATGTGGTCAATTTGTTGATCGGACTCAACAATTATCAGTATTTACTTGTCTTAGCAACTCAGTTGAATATCAGCAAATTTTCATTTTTAAATGATTATTATTCAAATTGCTTTTTAATACTAATAAAAACTGAAACTATTATTTTTGTAGGCTAGATATATAATTAAGCTGGATGTCTCACAAATTCCAAATGATGTAGACGAATTAGTATTTACATTTACCGCAACTACTGCCAGCGAGGAAGAACATCCTGAAAATAACAATGCCACCATTGTTCTACCATTGAAAATATCGGCGGATATCACTATTATAGGGTAAGTTCCTAGGATTTAAGAAATTTAAACTTAAAATCATTTCATTAAAAACAAAACAAAACAAAAATTACGATTTTAACAGGAATGCAGGAAGAGAACAAATTCTTTTGGGTAAAGAGCAAGATAAATTGGAGATTGTACCTTTTGATCACTATTATACAGTAATTTTGACTGTTTTATTTATTTACAGTTAAGTTTGATCTTAATTTCAATAAATACATTTCATTGATAGGTTCTGAAATACTTGCCAAGTACAGTAAATTCAGTATCCATACAGCTTTACATTCCTACGACTTTTCATGATAAGAACGTCACATTTCTACAATTAACCAGTATTCTTGTAAAATATTTAATATTTTAAATTTAATTTATAGAATTTTTTATTATTATCTGAAGCTCAAACTTTTTAAAATGATTTAGATCAACGAAGGAAAATTGGACGCAGTTCCCGCTAGTTGCAATGTTACTCAAATCAATTTAAAACCCGAAGAAGTGGATTACGAGAAAAAAGAGACTACGCATTTAATTCTAGAGAGTGAAACTGCAAATACAACTCAAATTTTGCCATCCAGAAAAAAGAGAAGCGTAGATAAGAATAATTATGGCGTAGCGGAATCGCTGACTAGTGCAAGGAGTGATCTTTATATTAATTATGCTCTGGTAAAAATCAATTTCTAATTTTTACCACTTTAATTATTCAATTTATATAATTTTAATATTTAAAAATCAGAATTGTACGACTTCCATTTGCGAGGAAATTGTATGCGCTGCTGGTCCTTTTACTAATAAGAAGAGAAGCGCAACTTTTCACATCAAAGGATTTATTTATTTTGCACTATTGATGCACAATTTAGTGAGCGTCAAACCTCTGAACAACTAACGGGAACACGAAAGATGATCGTTATTTGGAGATGATTTTATATTCATTTCAAATAGCCTCCTTTTACAGAAGATTGTTCGACAGTACATTAAATAATTAAATATACAGATATCCCTCTTATAACGTTCCGAAAAAGTGNCAAAAAATTAACAATATCCTCCATAACTAGAAAGTCTTCCAAGCATGTAAAATTACAAAAAATCTTTACCTGTAAAATTTTTAAAAATATGTTATCGGAATTACTGCGACAACGAAATAGACGCCATTACTGCCAGAGATAGATACTGACTATTGGCTTCTTGCCCAGAAGAGAAGCGCAACTTTTCACATCAAAGGATTTATTTATTTTGCACTATTGCGAAACAATTTAGTGAGGCAAATTTCAAATAATTTTTAAAAATATGTTTCTTATAACCAGTTTTTAAATTTAATCTATGTTTTTTTTTTTTTTTTTAAAAAGAAACAATGGGATAATATCACGATACAGTCAGAAGGTAAAGTACAGATACAAGATGAAAAACGAGATGTCCAACCTAAAAAACATCAACCGGATGAAGCTAAAGTATGCCTTATTTTTGGAATAAAAGAAAATTTTTAGAAATTTGACAGTGTAATAAATTCTTTTTATGACAGGTAGCAACGATATTAGTTCAGTCTGAACCATTACCAGCTAAAAAGCTACCCACTTGGATTATAGCAGTTAGTGTTGGTGTAGGAATTTTGGTGTTTTTGATCATTTTACTAGGACTTATAAAGGTAAATATAACAACTATTTATTTAATAATTAATGTAATTAATTGAAAAATTAACTATCGTATTAACATAAACAGTAAGCGAGATTTAAAGGGTAACTTTACAAAATGAATCAACTAATGAATTAATACATTAATGGTCTGTTTACTTTAAACCAATGTTATTCCACGGTATAGTGTTATATACAAATAATAAGCAAATGGATATATAGTATAGTATTTGAATATCTTAATATAGAGTAATAAAATATTTACGGACGACCTATCGTTCTGGGGGATCCGGGTTTAAATCAGGACGAGCAACTCTAGGAATTTTTCATGGTTCCGGATATGTCGGGCCCGTTGCTCAACACCCGTCCGATCGAGTGTTTTTGGTCAGACCCCACTTTGGGCCTGGCCAAACACTCGATGGGCTTAATTAAAAGACTCGATGGGCTTAATTAAAAGGTTCTGTCAATACCCACATGACAGAAAGTCAAAACTGAAAAAATTCACTCGTGAAAATAGCTCTATTGCTATCCCAGGTGTTAGCAACCTGCGGCTCTTCGAGAAAGATTCTGCAACGCTACTTTCCCTTTTATACGGGAGGCCTCCATTGAGTCTGCAGTAGACGAATTATTACAGCTTAGCGAAATTCTCACTACGATATATATATTTAACAATGCATAGCCACAAATACGGGTTTTCTTCACGTTATACACCTAAATAGTAGCCAATTTATGATAAAAATCCTCCCGGTGGCACTCCCCCCTGGTAGATCGCCCTGGCGTTGCCTTATTCCATCAGTTAATCCTTATTTTACGTAGAAAGTGAAATAAAATAAAAATTTTCCTTTTTCTTGAGGTGAGAAAACAATTGTTTAATTTACTGCAAAATTTCGTATAAAGGCAAATAATATTCACAAAATTTTAAATATTAAAATCAGACCGACATTGTATATTTAACATTGATTATTTTTATCTTTACTATTTTGAAAGCTTGTGAATTTTTGATTAAGCAATAAAAATATTCGTAAGATATTATACATAGAATTGACACCATGTATCAATAAAAATATGAACATGCTCACTTAAGTAAAATAATACGAAGAAATCGATAACAATTTCTTAATGCCAATAACTCTTAGCTTTCAGGAATAGTTCTCGAAGGTAAGATTTCAACTCGAAAAATCATCACTCACTCGAAAACGATGGCCTGATTCGGTGATTTGGTCGTTTCTTCCAGAAGATCGCATTCTTTAAACTGATACCACATTTTACATTCGTATTGATAAGTTGTTACCTTCAAGCTAGATTTGTAGACGTAACAGGATAATTTAAGCTTGCAGCAAGCACGAAATTCTCGGATTTTCGAATTGCTACTACGGTATCTCTATACAATGCCTATTGTTATAAGAAGTGCTATGAACACAGCTATAGCGATCTTCGTGCGATCCATTGTGGTGCTCACCTTTATAACGACTTTTTTTCTTTACAATTAAAATCTTTGTTTAGTTTGCAATAACAAAGTGTCATTGTTCATTGTTAAAATCTATTATAAATGAGTTAATATCTTTTAATAGACTGAAATATGAATGAAAAATTATTTAAGCTGAAAATCACAAGTTTAAAAAGCTTTTAATAATCTTACTTGAAATATAGCCTATGGAATTGAAATAATAAAAACATAGCATTGTAAGGTAACGTTGTATGTAATTTTTAACTGTGTCCTGTGGGCTCTAGCCCACAAAGTACAGTTAAAAAATACAGATAGGGTGACAGCATTTTTGTCGGCAAATTCAGGATACATGTCAATCGTCACGTTTTAGGCTACACAGTAGCAGCTTATATGTATAAATACTGTCAAATATTGGGTAAATTCTGTCAAAATGGGTACTGTACAGCACATACGCAGAACTGAAAGCTAAACACTTAAATTTTGATTGAGCTCGTTTGTTTCAACCAAATAGCTATAAACGTTATTGGAGAAGATCTATTTACTTTTGGCGCATTTTAGCTATATTTTCATTGGGTTGCAATTTTAAAAAATTGTTAGCCTTTAAATTCTCACTGTCGTCAGTCTGGCAACAGTGAGAATGTCTGTCCTTCCTTAATCTTGAAAATTGAGTTAGGTAGATGAAAGTTGAAACCAGATATGGAAAGATTAGGGGCAGGAGACCCCTAATCTTTCCATATACAAACCAAATACAAACGTCCAATGAAAAGTCATGTTATTTTAATTTAAAATTTTTCCCTGAAAGGAATTAGGTAGATGACTGGCATGACTCTATTGATAACAGGAAAAGTATGATGCACAGGGACAAAACACTACTAAAAAATTGAGAACACTTTGACGAAAAATTGCAGTCCGGCATTGTAACGATGTCACAATAAAAACATTGACTGAAGACATTGGTCCAATGTCTTCGGCGTTTCCAGGTAATTTTTCCTCCAGAAGACGACACGTCTTCTGGCGGAAAAATTGTGATAGTGACAATATTACAGTAACCACAAGGAAACGAAAAAACGAAGACAAACGGGGTCAAAACTAGGGACGCTTCCTTGTCGCGGACAGAAACGGGGACTTTCCCCGAAAATCGAAAACGGATGGTCACCCTATGTAAGAGGACTTTTATATCATACCTACTGTGGGCCTGGATTCAGACAGGTCACTTCCATTGTGGGCCTGGCCAAAACCGACGTATCCGGACAGAATGCCCGTAAAAAATTCCTTGGGTCTTCCTACTGTCCAAATAATCTCCCGGATCCTTCGCAGCAGATCAGAAGATCGTCAAAGTTTTTTGACTGTCGATGAAAGGTAGAGGAATCCTTAATGGATTCCATTAAGGATTCCTGTACCTTTCATCGACCCCTTTTTCTTTTTGATAATACAGCATATAATACAATGATGGGGTATGGGGAAAAACATATTTATGTGCAAATTGCTTTTGAAGCTTTTCTAATACAGTATTCGGCTTTCTTTTTTATTATTGAGAATATATTAATAGTTTAGAAAATGATTTAGTAGAATTTTGATAAAATATATTTGTAGTAAACTTATAAGTTATATCCAACTCTTGCAACAATCTGATTTTTTTTATGTATAAATCGATTGAAAAATGATTTCCAGAGTTTTTTGTTTGATAAACAACAGAAAAAAAAAACAAGGAAACTTCATGTCTTCATCATAATACTGTACAAGTATAAAAAAATCTACATTGAGTAATGTGCATAATAATAGGCTGTTACTTTTTCCTGTAAATGTTGTTTGTTCCTTTTCAAAGGATATGGTTCCTACCAGTGGCCGAGTGAATAAAACCTCTGAACACTCGTAGTTGGTCGTGAGTTCGTGCCTCACCAACAGGCTGGTCAATAGAGTTTTCCGTGCTTTTTTCACGTTTGTGACATCTAAATAGGGGCCAGTTTTCCATAAAAAGACCTCCCTGGCGGTATTCCCCTTAGCAGATTGCCCATGTGTTGCGTTTCCATAAACGAATAAAAGCAAACCAATCATGGGCTATAGCAACGCAACGAATGGGCGATCCACCAAGGGAAAATGTATCCCTAGATGACTTTCTATGGAATACTGGCCCCTATTTAGATTTTAGACACGTAAATTCTATGCGTTCAGGCCGTTGGTAAGGCACGAACCCAACACCAACTATCAGTTTTCGGTTATCCACTCAGTGGTTGTAAATAGAAAAGGAAAAAAATATTTTATCTATGAATGAATGACAGTGGATATAAAAAAAAGGTACTAAAAAGGCCCTTTTTATGTACCTAGGCTCACAATGGAGAAGGACGGGTGACGAGGGACTGGGTCCAACAAATATTCGGGACAGTATCCGCAAAAAAAATTCCTGAAATTTTTAATTTACTCGGATTCGATTCCGGGTACTCCAGAGCGTTAGACTGATGTTTCGGCCGTACGATCGTTATATCATTACAGTCGACCCCCCTATAACGCGGTAAATTCTTATAAAGTTCCACTTTATAAGAATTTCGCGTTGTAGGAATCCTTAAATACATGAGCCATCACAGCCCGGCACGTGTGCAGGTTACGGACTGCGGCTGCTTGAAAGGTTTTCTTCCATAAAATTAATCGATTCTAGACTAATTTGACTCAACATTTCCAAAACAGGTTTAATTTTTGGGAAATAATTTGTATAAATTATGCTATAAACAAAAAATTGTAGGATTACTTACCGAGTGTGCACCGTTCGACGACGCCATTGGTTAAGCTTGTTTTCGTCGCGGAGCAGCGCACCAAACGGCGGGCGCGTTTTCTGATAAGTTATTTTTCTGCAATTTTCGTTGAACTTTGGAGACATCATTAATAAAAATAGTTTTTATGGCCGTTGAATAAGAAATTTTTTTCACAAGAAATGTATAAAATTACAGTACTGTATTAGACTTACAGTACCTAATTTATATACTGTACAGACGATAGTAAACTCAACTTACCCGCCTAAACTCTCCGTAGCGTGTAAGTAGTTCGGCTGCTCGTCCACTATTGGTCCAGATTCGACCAATCCTGTCGCGACACGAGTCGG